TATAATTTATCTTGAATCTCACAGGACTTCTAGCAATTGATATACTACAAGAAAAGCCAAGTCACCTCCAGCCTAGACCTCTCTTGGGTGTTCAGCAAATTTTCTGTGACTGTAAATTAAAATCATCAAAACCTAAAATTTAATATGAAAGTACGGAGCCTGATGCATAAAATATATACACTAATAAAGAGTTTAGTTCTAGTAAGGTTTTACTATCAATAAACAAGGAACATAAAGTTGCCATTCTGCTAAATGTGGAGGAAATAATTTCCTTTGCAGGAAGAAGCTGTCTAGTCAGAAGGCGGCACACAAAATAAGTCCTTTAGGCTCAGCTTCTTCCTTTCCTTCCAGACCTACTTTCATCTCTGTTCTGATCCAGCCACAATGCAAGTTTGTCTGATGTCATAGGCAAGCTATCTTCCTCTTTGTGGTAAACAAATGATGTCACAACCACAGGACTGTTGATTTCACCGCAGGACTGAACAACTGGGCTTCTGATGCACAGAAGGGGAGTTATTATTCAAACATAAACAGCAGAAATAATCACAAAAGTAAAGCAAATGAACAGCCAAGTAAATTAATTCCTTTTTGAATCACTGGTCCTGTTTTCCGAGTCCAAATGATTCTCCTTTCCTATTTAGGAAGCCTCAGGGGATGAAAAAGTGTCCAAGATGGTGAAATTAAAAATTAGCTGCTGAGCATGAAACATGCAATGATTGCACTTCATAACATTTTTATTGCCTCAGTGTTGTATGAATCACTTCACACTTCCACAGTGTTACGATGAAAAAAAAAAATGACACCAATAAAGTCTAAGCAATTGATGTTATGACTTCATCAATCCAAGACTAAAGGCATGCACAGAATAGCAAATACTTTCCAGAGTATTGAGAGAACTACCACCTCATTCTGTAGAAGCGCAAGTTTCATCTTTCTGTCTTTCTGAAGAGTTGTCACTTCTCATACCAGAAGATGGAATAGTGAAATAATACAATACGGCTCCATGTGACACAACATAGCTGTCCCTTTCAGAAACCAGCCAAATTTGGGTTTCTCGAGAGCTACGAATGCAGCTGATGCCCAGGGAGGCTGCAGATAATACAGAATGCTCCCAATTCTCATGGAACGTCTCCCAAGTTCTCACAGAACATTCTCCCTCCTGTGAGGATTCTGCAAGTATGAAGTTGAATTATCTTTACAATTTCACAAATCCAAAAATGTTCAATCTGTTGCTACTTAAAACTTCCAAGAGAAACATTAATCTATGCTTCAGACAACAAAGCACCATTGTATTAATCTATCAGATACAACATCAAAGGTACGGTGCAAAGAAGTGACCTCCTGCAGGGAGATTGCACCTTCTTCTGACAGTCGTGCTCCATAGCTAACTAAATGCAACCCTAAATTCCTTCTACTTATGGTTCAACTTTGACATGATTAAGTATTTAAGTTTGGCTGTATTAAAAAAATCAATCTCCCATCTCTACATGTAATCATCACTAAATCCAAACTTGTTCTGTAATGATTTTTTTTTTCTTCTCTAATAAATACCAGCTTTCATTTTAGTTGAGTGACTACATGTCTTGACTCAGGTATCAAAATCTTTCCTTTGATATAAAATCATTAAGACAAAATAAAGCCCTTTTTGTTAACTCTAATCTTACTTCCTTGTAATTGTGCCAAAGGCACTTTAATATGTATCAGGTCATGAATATCAGAAATTACAGCTGCAGTGTGTGGCAACAAAGGATCAGATTAGTCATATAACAGTAATACCTTCTTCCTTCTTTGATAATAAAGACGCGAACAGTACGCATTGATCTCTCAGGACAAAAAGTCAGTTCTGATACTTATAAATCCAGGTTCACAGTACAAAGTAATAGCCCTACACAAACCTCAGAACGATGAACGAGGGGTATTACAGGGTGTAATAAAACCTACTTCACTTTATGTCAAAATTCTCTCCTGTCTCATACGATGTACAGGTACAAAGTTAAGCTGGAGTAGGAAAAAGTTAGTAGGCACTGTTTTCACATAGTTTCCTACGGTAGATTCATGGGAGATGCATTTTGAACAAAGGAAAACTATGTACAGGCAGACACAATTATGGAAGAATTAATGTACCAACAAGAACAGCACTGGCCATAAATGTAGTATAACTATATATAATATAGTGAAATGAGATTCAGTTAATTTATAGATCAGTATTTCGATGCAGAAGCTTGAATTTTTTCTTGGGTAATGCTGAAACACATGACAACTGTAGCCTATTTCCTAACTTGAAACAGACACACATGAAAGTCTTATATGGGTTTCATACAGACTCATGGGGAGGCAAAAGACAAGAGTAATGGCCAAATACAAGTTATTCACACACACCTGCTACCCACTACAGAGCCCTCCACACATTGCCTTACAATTACAGTGTATAAAACTGGCTTGTTACAAGTTCCAGCCAAAGATTTAGTTCAAGTCATAGTATAATACCTTTATACTATAGTATATTACCTTTAATACATCTTATTCCTTTACCATAACTCAACAAAGCTTCAGGCAATGCTCACATACACCACCAGTTGCCCAGTCCAAAAGACATCATATCAGACCCCACACTAAAACACTTTAAAGGGAAGTGAACCATTTTGTGACGTCAAATACTTTTGTTGAACTCCACTAAAAACTGTTTGCTGGGCCTGGGCTCACAAACCCCAGGAAGCAATAACAAAGACTTCCAAGGTACCTGTCCCCCAGTGAGAACAGTTAAATTCTCCAGCAATACGCAGCATTAACATCTGATGGGACAGGAAAGCCTTAAAAAGACAATGCTAGTTTTGCAGAAACACACAAAATCACTGATTTTTGGGGTGAGGCTGGAGTCCTAACTCTAATTAAATTCTAATCTGCTTTTCCCAGGTTTCCTAAAACACTGTCTCAAACAGGCTTATCTTCTAAGAACTGCAGCCTGATCTTCTCATTAAAGAATCTGTTACAATGAAAACACATTAGTACTAAAGCCATAAAAGACTGAAGAAATTATGGGCATTTTTCCCCAAATTAGTGGATTGTCCTAGCATCACTTTAAAAACAAACATATCCACAAGTCTGCTTGAAAAGCAGGAACTTGCTGCTTTAAGTGATTCTTCAATGTTATCTCTATTTTGTTCTTTATTCAATAGAAGAATACATGCACTGACATTATAAACACTAATTTTCTATTTAGCATCCCAAATTGGGAAGCATAAACATTTATGCACTTCATTAAACACTACCTAAGAACACTTTGTGATTAACAGGAGACAAGCTAGGCTGTTAAATGCAATTTCAGGGCACACATAAGCCACCGTAAAAAGACACTTCTCCTCTTCTCATCCTTTGCTATGAATGCTCCCTGGCTCCATCCTTTTGCAACCAGGTCTTATGAAATGAACCTTGGAAATCAGAGAGATCCAATGTATCTGTGCAATCACAAGTGCCAGTTCAAGGGAAGGGACGAGAACGCAGGGATGTGAGCAGGGAAAGCAGCGCGTACCTGTTTGGCATAGACTAGATTGGCACACGCCAATCATGAAATTGCACTTTCAAAAGCATAAAACAAACACTTATGTCCTGAATTAAGATATCATTTAAGGACATGTGGTGCACAGGAAGAGACATGTTGTTTTTCTGCATCTCTTTAAGCACGCACTGCAGTTCCAGCACACTTCCTCCTCTCCCCTCCCTTCCTTCAATCCACCACAGCCCTTTAAAGAATCCTTACATTGCTCCTTTCCAAATCACCTATGCACACAGGACACTGAAACAGGTTTAACGTTAGGGTATACCAGTGCTAATAGGAAGATGATAAGAAATGGCATGTCTTTCAAAACTACAGGAAGCAGAATTGAAGCGGTAGAAAAGAAACAAATGCGGATACTCGGGAACAGCCAGCCTGAAAGCAGATAACCACACCTGTGTGCACGAAATAGATGGAAGGTTAACTAAGATCACTAAGATCACAATCCCCCAAATTCATCAGTCCAGGCCCTAAGTTATCTCTACAAATTGTATTTGCAGAATCTTTCATGAAACAAAACGTCAGGTTATTTTCTTTCCCTTACAGACAATAAATTATAATTCAGACAATAGATTATTCCTTATAAATTTGCATCACAATTCTAACTTCAATGTAGAAAATTATTTTTATTTACTTTTGTGCTAAAAGTGTCCATTGTTAAATTATGGACTCAGACAAAGTGGTACTAAATTTTCTGTTATACACAACTTTGCCGTACTGTGGCAATCCTTAATCATTTGAAAATACAAATACACTAAAATATAGTGTTTCAAGAACAGTAATATGGACATACTGAAGAGCTTTGTACCATAACCAGAAATCTGAAAAGTGCCTTCACTCCTGAAAAAGAACTGCTGTTAGATTTATTTAGTTTTTTAATTAAATGTCGATTTTACAGCTTTGGGTTCTTTGTTGTTAAACTGTGATGGCAATGGTGATCTATTTAGAAGATAGTAAGTGAAAAAGAAGCATTCTTCATGTGTTTTTGACCAAATATATTGTTAGAGAGCAAAACAAAGATTTATAAAAACAAGCGATTCAAATTTCAGTTCAGAAAAAACACTTTGTAAAATACAATAACCCCCTTTTCAATAGCAAAGTAGATTCTGTACAGTTCTTCCATCTTAGCCGATGTTTACTGTAGCCTAGATGCACTGACTCCAGTAAAACAAATTGTAGGCAAAATGGGTTGGTGTTTGCAGAATTACAACCTATATACAGAAGTGCAGTTAGCATACTACAACTCATTGCAAAAACCTTTGAAAATTCAGTTTCACTGGCAGTAGACTTACAATGTATCTTACATTATTTAAAAGTAGGTTGCACCATAGAAAGGCTTTTGACAGAAGCGTTCAAAAAATGATTCAGATTATAGGAGAGTAACGCTTCACGTCAGCTTCTCTCATCTGCAGAAATGCCACACAAATAAAAAAACCCAACACTTAAGTAAAACACTAAGATTTTATTAAAAATCCAAAATTTATTGCAAATTGTACTTTGCACTTTCCCTCCTTTCTTCATTTTTACATGACTTGTTGATATCCATTATTTTTTCACAGATGTACTTGTTGACTTTGGAGAGTCTCTGTGCAATTTCAGTTTCATCCACAGTTTCTTGTGCTATTCTATCATATAAACATTCTGGGGAGAAAAAAAAAAAAAAGAAAGAAATGAGCCATTAGGATATTTTTAGAGAAGAATATAGCCCTGCTTTGGGCTAACTAGACAGCACTGAGTAAGCACTGTGTATAACTGTTGCAAGACAACAGAAGCTTTCCTTGATTCATTGGCTATCTTGTCAAGGTCAAGATTTTCCACCAGGCTTGAATCTTTGGCATAGCCAATTTCCAGTTATGCTGTGACTACATTAATAGGTTTTCTATAGAGAAGCAAGGCTAAATCAAGGCTTTTACAGTCTGTCCTGTATGCCTAACATTTTATTTGTCCACAGCTCCACAGCAGATTTAGAATCGTTTCCCAGGTGAATGGTGTCACCAGAACTGTTGTTACCTACAGTTTCCTGTGAGTCACTCCTACCTTCACACCTTCAGGACAGTTAAGTAAATAATAATGGTTAGGAAGAGCAGCAGTAACCAGTAGGAGAAGACATTAACTGAGTTATGTTATTCTTAAAATCTGTTCAAATTACACTGATGTCTGTATCTTTACCAGATGCCCCATCCTGGGCATATTTTGCTTTTATTAGTAGATTATTCAGGGTGAGAAACATCTTCTTGAACATTTGCACAGTACACTTAACTGGAGTACAAAAAGCAAGCAACAGTAATAACTGCACAAGCAACGACAGCAATGAAAGTCGACACAATTCTGCTTCACAGAGTCGGTAGCTGAGTGCCAGAATCCTGCAGAAGCTACTGAAATCAGACATGGTGCAATAAACCCAACTCTTTAGTGTCACACAGGTTTGTTTTTTTTTATTTTCTGGTTTTCATAACCAGAACGACAGTTTTTTGTCATGCAGGCTTCCCAGATTGGTCAAACAAACTCTGCTTTGCTTTGCCTAGTAATCTATTCCAGTAGCCGTCTATTGCTTCACATACAGAAAGCCACAGAGATTAACGCTTAATTAACATGGTTTACAACGTTTCTAAAGAGTCATATTAAAAAGTTATGAAAATTAAGTACTATGCAAGCTTTGTAGTTCATTTAGAAACCTCTCAGAAGTTTTATAAAAGGTTATTTTGCATTAATAAGGTTTATAACAGTGCTCATGCATCATACTTCTTATAATTCCTTTATTACATACCACACAGTAGGTTTTTTTAAGAAGCTAGAGATATCAGACACATTAAGAGCTAATGCTGTTGTTCAAAAACCTATTTTAAATAAGTTAGTCTGTCCACAGAATGATGAGAACATCTAAACCAATGTCAATTTCATGTTGTAAGAGCTACTGAATATAAAAGAAATAACATTAATCGACATGCAGCCTGACAGCTGAAATGCTAATCACCAGTAAACTATGATTTGAAATATACCACCTAAGAGGAGGCACATCACCGAGAACCTGAAGAAACCCAGGGCATTTGTAGGACACAAGCCTGCACTACAGGAATACTCCAGGTTGCAGCAGATACACCTAGTAAGGTGAACTTCCAGTAAAAGACAGGCTATGTTACTAGCTTAGCCACAATGTCAAGCAAGGAATCGCTTGACAGAAATCATTCATCGGCTGTGAATCTTAAAGTCATCTGACCCAGACAGATCCATGATCATCAGTTTCTCCTCTTCCATCTCTATGAAGGACCACAGAAATAGTAGTTTAGTACTCACAGAAGGATGCTGGCTTAGGGGCTCTAAAGAGCGATTTGGGGGTTCTGCTGCTTTTTTAGCTTTACAGAAACATAGAGATACTCCTTCTGACTGGATCAAAGATTCAAGCAGACCTCAAGACTAACAAGGAGCTTTACTTCTTTCTGCCCTGCCCGACCCATTCATTGGCTACATAAACTCTAACTTCCTCACATTTCACTGTCTGTCCACTTGATACTCATTTGTTTTGTTTTCTTCTCCACAACAAATTATTTGATCACTTCCAGCTTTCCAGGAAACACTGCTGGCATGATGGGGCAAGGCGGGCTAACACTGACGCAAACGAAAAAGACATAACAACGTGGATAATCATGGTTATGTGCCACTTAGCACCACTGATACAGGAAGTCTGCCTGCTGCCACCTAAAACACTGGCCATGCAGTAAAACTGGTTCAAGAGAAGACTGTACAGGCCTGAGTCTAACAAACAGAGAATCAAAGACAAGATGGAAAAAACACTGGAAGGAGGAACATGGGAAAACCAGGGTGTGGAACACTAGAATTCAAACGGCGGTCAGGGTTGGAAGCAAAAGTATGACAGAAAACATAGGAAAATGAGGAAATAGGGAAGTGCTGAAATGCTGGCGAGTGTGAAGGTATGGAAGAGAGGGAAGGGCCCCATCTACCTCTCACCATGTACTTCCAAAGTCACTGGAGTCAAAACAAGGGGAGTTAGAAGAAAGCCATCACTTAACTGGCTCAAACAATAGAGAGTGGGCCTGACTGAAGTAGAAGAAACTCTCACATAAGCAATCCTGCCAGCGGTACTGAGGAGCAACAGCCTCCGACAGCAAAACTAAAGAGTTCCCTGCAGTGGGCCAGGGAGAAATAACTCCTTCTTACTGTGCGCTTGTAAGTGTGCATCTGGGTAACCAATTCTCCTTCCCATTAGGAGCTGACAAGGGTAGCGATAGCTACAGTGTGGATTCCTTATGTGGCCAGTACATCATTACCTTGCTTCATGTGTTAGAATTGTACGAAAAGGTCCTGGCCAAAACTGGAAAATCAGCATGAACAGCTTGCACTTCCACATATATTCTCGAAGCAATTAGTAAAAAAAAAAACCACCATGTCTTTTACTCATTTCTTACAAACTCAGAAAGATGACAGGACAAAGATCAGTTTCCAACTTTTCCCCATGCAACACAGACACACGCATACACTCAAAGAGGAATCATGTTTCTTATTTTCAACACGTGGTACTTGCAAGGCAGTTTACAATAGCTCTTAAAAAGTTTGTAGTTAAGAGCACATAGCAACTTAAAACAGGAAACGCAGAATAATGAAGCTCAATCAAATAGGGAGATTTTTTTCAGCCCAATTGCAATTTAGTATGGACGCAAAACCTAGAAATCAAGTTCCAGCATGTATTCCATGAGGAACCAGCTCTGTTCTGCCTTAAAAAGAAGCCTGAAATACCAAGAGAGACAGAAATGAATGCAAAACACAAGCATGATGATACAAGGGGACTGAAATTCACTATTCATTTTAAATAAAGGAGAAGGCCTTCTCTCTCTCAAAGTACTGCATACGTGGACTCAGGCTTGCACGTACTGAAACTGTCATTGCAATTTTTCCTACCAGATTCACACTTCCTGTTCAAATTTCAATTCAAGTGCAACAATTAATTTTTACTATTTCCATTTTCTCCTCTGAAAAGGGCAAAACTATTCTTTCTTGCCTTCGAAGGTATGCCTATTTTCTACAGTCACAGCTATAATGGTTTCTGTGCCTCATGCCAGAGTTAGTTATATTCTGGCTGAAAAAATGTGGTAAAGCTACTCTCAGGCTTGTTAAAAGGAATATATGCATTTAAAAAATCATTATGCTATAAATGAATTCCAGAACAACATGTTGTTCTCCAGGCTGAGAGTCCTGTCCTGCAAGTGATTTAAAGTGATGATCTTCTTGAATCTTACTGAAGTCAATGTACAACTCTTCAGCTGTGAAGGCCTGCACTGTGCACAGCTATTGCAATGTGTTTTACTTTTCCTGTATACCTATGCGCTTCACAACGCAATAGCAATCCGAATTACAGTTTGTAATCAGTTAATTTTATATGAGCTGAAAAGAAGCATCTTTCAACTCAGTGATTAATGGTTAAACTCCAAAGCAGGAAGCAAAAGTTTTCAAATAACCTACCTCTGACAATGCTTAATTTGTGAGGTGAGAGAGGTGGCTTGGGAACGGCATCTTTCTTTTTTTTGGTTGCAACTCCTGTGACACTTCTGTTCTTGAGAACATCTGTTCCCCAAATCATAACCGCTAGATTTTTTGTATACTTTGAATCTCCTTGTGTTACTTGCAGCTGGTGCCATTTCTCCTCATCTACCCAAATTCCACTGCCAAGATGGACCTAGAAGGTAGTAATAATAACAACTTATCTATGGTATGTAGCACACAACAGTATCCAAGTGCTGTAGGAACATTAATATTAGGTACTATAATAACAGTAATTAGGGCTGAACAAATCCATTTTGCCTGATTCTGAAACTTCTCCAACTTTGTGGGTTAGGGAGTTAAAGTCAACCTCTTATATAATATAGTTCCTTTTTGTATTCAATTCTTCTTACTTTTTACTTCCCCCCCCTCCCCCCCATAACCTATCTCCTGAAGGACTATAGTCAGGAAGAGATAGAAGAAGGAAACAGTAAACACATCCAGTATTATAAAGGTATGCACAGCACATAAACCAAGCAGTTGCACCAGCCTAATTCAGGAACAAGATGAAACATTGTCTTTGATATGAAACTTTCCCTTTGGTTGAAACAGTCTTTACCCAGCGTATTTTTGGAGACAGTAGAAAGGAAAATACTTTCTAAGTCATATCCTGTATCTGTGGGCAAAATTCGGCCTGATTGTTTTAAGTAGCTAGAAGGGGAAAAGGGATTTTAAGAGCCCCAGTTTCAGTATAAGCCAAGAGAGACTGGAAGCTTTGTAAAACTTCCAATTCCATTATGAAGTTTGTACACAATAGGCAATCAGTCTATCCAGGTGAATACCGTTTTGTGATAAGGCAATGATCCATTGCTGCAACATCATAAACTTTCCATTATTCACACAATGGGGAGTAAAGATATTTCATTAGATTTTCAAGTGGTAAAGCAAGATAATATGGGAAATGCGGTATGAAGCCATTGTAGTCTCTCCAAAAGGAAGCTGCTTGAATCTAGTTGTGCTTATTAGTCTTGCTCAGCACTGACTGTGCTGGGTTGACTCCCACAGAGCTATACCATCTCTCTACCCCAAGATTCCCACTGCTCTAGACTTGCGATGAATGCAGGATGAGACCCTGAGTACCATCCTTAGGCTGCCATTACGTATGTTTGAGCTTCTAGTCCTGATAAACAGGACACCATCAAGCAACAGCAAGGAAAAGAAGTCCACCAGTAATTAGCATGGGCCTGACGTGAGTGCAACAAGGACATGAATGCTGCCTCTGTGGGAAATAACAGAGAATACCTCATACCTTGTATATGTATGCTCCTAATTCCTGGAGCATCCAGGAGTCCATCACCTGAACTATCCCTGCACACAGAATGTTTTGTTCACATGCTGATGAACTTGATTCAGTTGGGCCCACGCTTGCTCATCATCCATAACAAGCTAATGCATGACCTAACTATTCTAATTACTGATATGAGTTCACTGCACTGGAAAGGAAGAAAACAGAACTTACTTTCAGATAATCTGTAAAAGTGCAAAACACAAAAAATATGTATCAGTTAGATTGTTTTATGTAAAATTCAGGTTTCATAATATCTCATCAAATGGAGGTCCTTTTAATAAAAACTGCCTCCTCATGATCAAAAAAAATGAAATCCTGTGAACAAATTCTATGACAAAACTGTATTACAAGACTCTGCTTGCCTTCACTGTTTTGCTCTTAGTTTTTTGTGGTTTTATTCCCTTCATGTGGCATTACATAAAGTGTGCCTGCTACCCATACAGATCTGAAAAGTAACACAGAAGTCCCATTAAATGCAATGAAAATCAGACAAAGCTACTGTAAAATTTTATATACTCGTAATTTTACTGCCTGTATTCAATCAGATACCATTTCTCCTTTAAACAGAAACCCGCTTTAATAATTAATAAGGGCTATAACCCGAAGAAATTTTTTTAGTGCGACTGCATCCTTTAAAAGCAACTAGCTGTTTAAAAACTTAAATAGGAAAATATGAATGCTTTGGCTACCAGCTACTTTATAAGAAACAAATGAGAAGTCTAACTTCCTTAGAGTATAAAACCATAAAGCAAGCTGCCTCTCCAGCAGAATTTTCTAAGCTAAAGGGATTCTAAGAAGCTTTTCACAAGTCCACATGGTATTTAGATTCTGTAACGGGCAGAAATAAAACTTGTAAAAACCACAATATGAACATCCCTGTTTTTCTTTCCTTCTCTTTTGTTAAGCCTCTCTGTAAGTGCTTTAAAAAAATAATAATCACACTCTTTTGGTGCTCTCTACATATTTTATAATACAACTTCAATCAGAGTGAGCAGTCTGCTCAGAAAACAATCACAATTATAATTCAGTTATTTCTGGTTTGATCTTGGAAAAAGTTATCTGTAAAAATGAGTATAAGTTACTTAGAAAATAACTAAGATTAGGAACGTTGTGACATGCCAAATTAGCACGTCTGTATCACAGTAGTTGTAGAGACTGCTGTATTTGATCAAAAATCTGACTCCCCTCTGCTAAAATTAGGGCTTGTCTTCACTGAAGATTTAGTCTCTTAAGCAACTACATTATTCGTTAGCTTTAAATTACTTAAAAGAAAACAACAAATTACAGCAAGTATTTTATTTACGTTTCAGACAGATCATCTCTTCTTTGAACATGCTTCATTTATTTAAAAAGTCATCACTGGTATGAAACACCTATGGGAATGGCAACTACATGACAGACAGCCACAGACAGAGAAATCTTATGTCTCCCTTCTATTTCTAGCAGTGTTATGGCAAGGAATTTAATCTGTCAGTGTCTCAGTTTACCTCTCTGTAACTCAGTACTGTTTCCTATTACTCCCAAAGCTATGGGAAGCTTACTGTACTCCAGATTCAGAAGCCCCTTCCTTCTTGCTGGAAGAGCTGCCCCTGGGCCAGACCCTTGGCTTGATGAAATCAATGGGAACTTTACCACCAATTTCAGCAACTGCAGAATCAACCTTCAAGCACAATGCAACAGAAACAACAGCAAATTCAAAGCAATGCTCACCCCTGTAACTGCGCTAATGTGGACAACGTATCTAAAATGTCTAAAATGTACCTCAGAAGATGAACTATCTTTTTTGTTGGCTTTTTTTATCTTTCTTTTCTTTAAATGAATGCCATAGGCTCTTTTTCAGTAACTCTATTCTCCCTCTGGAGGGGAGAGATTTATCTGCTTTGAAAGAATCCTACTAAGATCAGATCAGATGCCACAAAGGGCAAGATTTCTAAAAACGTATTTCAACTACTCCAGTGGTGCATGTCAATAAAGCAATAATGAAAAAAAGGCATAAATAAGGAAAACTGAGACACCCCACCCCCTCCCCATCACTCAAAACACATTATTAGTTCACATTTCTGGCATCTGAGCTGACTGAAGCCCCAGTAAATAAGCAAATTTAAAGAAAAAATAAAATTACAAAAAGAAAGTTAAAGATATTATTATCTGTAAAGACAGAGAAAACTTCAGCAATGGAAGTGCCAAGAAGGTGGCAGATGAAATAATGGTCAAGAAAAGCTGCATACAAATACTAAAGGACGTGCCCTATCCCACAGACCTTAAGCGAAAAAAAAGGAGGTAAACCAAACTCTCACAGCAATATATTCTAAGTTTTCATTGCACAGATATGCACAAAATATACAAGCAAATGACATGTTAAATACATTAGGTGAGAAAAGCTATCTGAACCAAATACCTGTCAACCTGTCACGATTATACTATTTCTCACATACATCTTGTCCCCAACAATTACGTTAAATTCATCTTCAAGAATGACAGACACTTACGCAGTCAATCTCTTAACACAAATCTGAAAAAGTAGTATTTCATGCTATTTCATCAGTAAATCTGCTGTATGACAAGGCTGAAATGGACACTTCTTCCTTCAAGGTTCTCAGGTTATGGTACCAAATGCATATAAATCCTAAGAAACAGGATCTGCATAGGCAATTCTGAAGGACATGGTTTTGTAAAAGAAATGTGATGCTGATTTAGTGGTAATGGCAACAACTATAAAAGCAGGTAGATGAGCAGACAATGTGTTAAACATGCTGAAGTTTGAAGAGCTATCAGTTTGGTGCTGGCAAACTATAGCTACATGGTATTTTACCAACTTTATATAAGCTACTGGAAAGTTGCATTACATTAGGCTCAATTCAGTGGCAATGCTCCTACCAGACTGAAAGGAGCCCATTTTCATTCCAGGGTTCATAATTACCTACTGGACTCAAATTCAAGCAAAACATGAAGGCATCTCTGCATTTTGACTACAGCACATTAAAACATTAAGGACCTTTCAGGCAAAAGTATTTCTGTTAAACAGACTAATGTAACTTTATAATGTGGGCTACTGACTTTGGACTGTATTTGGTGGATTTATTTATGTCACCAACTGAAGACTATAACAATTTGCTTGTGCAGCATGTATATTTAATATCATATTCTTTGTGTTATCCAGCATTCAATGTTCTCATCACTGAGGATAATGTTCTGTGCTGTTCATGCTTATGTAATTTCATCATTCTCCTCAGCATAATAGCACACCTTTATGACAACTGAGGAAGTCTGTATAAGCTGCTACTGTGCAAAACACCTGAGATCATAATTCCACAAGGAAATCACCTGTTGGACATTTACAAATTAATCATGCTATATTTAATTTAAAATACCTTTCCATTCTCGAGAATATACTTGTCCATTACTGGAACAGGGGCAGGATAGTACGTTGATGTGTTTGCTTCCTCACTGAAGGTCTTCTGTACCTCGGGTTCAGGCTCAATTGGCTCTGGTTTTACTTTTTCAAGCTCAATGGCAGGTCCTAGACAGTTAAGAAAAGAGAGCTGTCTGCTATCCCAGAGAACATGAAATCAATCACTTCATCACCCAGGGTTAGCATAAAATTGCATGTTAGTCATGTTCATTTTAAAGTCAGAAAGAGTCTAAACCAAAATCTTACTTCTGAACACCAATCAATAAAAGCAGGATAAGTAACTCTGCTTTATAAACATCAAAATGTTTAATTTTAATTTAAATGTTTAATTTTATTTTTAAAGCATACAGACAATTACAAATATGGGTAAGATTGCTTCAGTGCACACTACGGAAATTATGCTAAAATGAGACTGAAATTATAAACCAAAAGCAACAATAGTAGTTCTTGAAATAAGAATTACTATATAGTTGCATAGAAACCTGCATAATTTACTGTGCTAATTACACAAGTTATCCATGTAGAACCAGAAATTTGATAGAAATTTGAAATCTGTTTAGATATAACAGAGGTATATTAAAAAGTGATGATCTACAGAAATGCTACAAAGGAAACAGGCTACTTAGCTAAAGTATCATGCACAGGGAGTATCCAAGGTGAAAAAAAAAACACATAAATTAGAATTCTGATTGTCCGACCAATCCAACACATTGTAATAAACAAAACTTAAGCACAGATTAAACAACAGAACACTACTAAGCATGTATTTGAGGCTTCAAAGCAGGATAATTATTTTGTCAGTCATCAACTTTTCAAATTAAGTTTATAAAGTGTTTCTAAAAAGAAGAAGAAAATGAAATATCTTGCGATCTGGATTTCATCATTCCATTCATTGCAGTGGTTACACCAGAAGTCTAGGAACAGGCTATGGTCCCAAGCCTATCATTTCTCTTGATGTCTGTCTCTATGATCATGAGAAGCTCCAGCAGTCACTGAAGTTCCATGCAGGGATGGTGGTTTGTTAACAGCAAGGCTGCCAGCTTAGACCCATGGCACCATGGTAATCAGACACTTGCAAGCACTTTAAGGATAAGCTCACCTGACTGTAAGAACTATATCGTACCTGGTTGGTGCTGAGAGCATTGCAGCACTCTGTAGCCCAACCTTGACACCTTTCAACAAATAAGAATTCAGTAAGCAGGTCACTGTCACGGTTCAGCATCCCTCCTCAGTGTTTGTGCACACAGACCAAGCCCTGAATTGATCTAACTCTGCAAGTCAAGCTGGCACCAGAACTCATGTCTTCAGTCACGTATCTTAAACAGTTCCTGTACCTGGAACAAGCAAAGCATTCATTCCTCCTACTTTGTGCAGTTTCATGTAGAGATTATTATACAGCAATATCAACATTTCCTCCACTGTCAGCACTTGACATTTACCCTATAGATTATTTCTACACCTACATAGCTGGCTAAATGTTCTCAGCTGACTGCCACTTGACACTCAGCAACAAGTAAAAGTTGTCTTGGCAACTCAGACAACCTTATACAGCAGTGCCACCAAAAAAGAGTATCTTAAGAGTCATATGCAATGCAAGCATTGCACAAGTAGAGAAATCACAAAATACACACCCATTGGCATTACAATTTAATAGTAATCTTAATAAGCATGTCTACTATCACACATACACAATGGTACTGCTGAGACAAACTGAACTTCCTAAACTTGAGACTACTAAACTGATTCAGACTAGAGGAAAGACCTGGACTGATTAAACCACCTAAAGCCCACACACATCTTGGTGCGGGCACACCTGAACAAGCAGATGCAGTGATGTAACTGCCAGTGTGAACTTAGGAAGAGATCTTTTAGTTGTTACTTGAAGAAAATATTCTTTAGCCAAGCGCTAGTTTGAGTTTTCTTACACTTTGAAAGTCACCTCGAAGAAGACAGCTAAGTACAACCACCTTCTTCCAAGAAGGAAACGTTGATCTCAGTTTATACGCTTTTACTAGTTGCTATTTAGAAGTCTGATTTGTTTATACTCATATATTGACACAGCTGGGATTTGGTTTCCAGAGTTCCCCAAGAAAAACAGCTGAAGTCCACAATAACCATAGCTCTAAGAAGTCAGGAAAACCTCCGCCGCAATTCATGCTTTACTGCTTGCTTCGAAGTCGCCAACAGATTTTTTTCTTCCCAAAGAGCAATCTAACTAGGTAGTCTTCACAGCTACTTTCACCAACTACTGAGGACAGCATTTTCCACCCTGCATGTTGTGAATTAGATATGCAACCTGCATTAATGCCTCACTGCTAATGGGAATTTGCATGCCCAATTTACCATACATCACACTTTAGAAGTTCCCTCTCTCTGTAGGTCTCATGCTGTGCATCTCACTTTAAAGATGATGAGACATACAAAAATATATGCCACTATCTAAAAACTTAACAGTGATATAGTAAGGATCATAAAAAAATAAAAATAAAGACAATTCTCCAGAATGCAAAAAGGAAACAAATGTTTTATTTCAAATTTTTTCTCCTTCCGACTGTAAAGTTCCCACAATCTCTGAGGGGCCAGCAACTTCAAATGCAGGATGAAGAGGCAGAAGACTTTCCTTCATCACCTCTTTTCCTAAAAAAGCATCTTAGGCTACATGCTACTCAAAAAAAACAGTAAATAAGCTAAAATAAATTAACTGATAAAGTGGTTGACATACATTTGTAAGCAGCAAGCTGTTTTCCACATGGTCTACCAGAATTTGAACAAAAACAGGAGTCTGAGAAGTGGCAACATTATATATATGGTACTTCAAGTACTCACACTTGATAGAAACCTTGGATTTCCGTTACATCAAAAAAGTTAACTCTAGAAAAGCTGAATAATAGTAATTCCTTACATGTGGTGAGACACAAATGGCATTTGTACTCCCTATCCTGATGGCAGTCCCAAAACACCATAAACTGGATCACTGAAATTAAACCGGATTAAGAATAACCACTTGAGGGGCTATGTGCATGTTGATGAATTGGACAGAGCATTGGGTGACAGAGCCTAGTGTGAGGCATCCCTGCCCATGGCAGGGGGGCTGGAACTAGATGATCTTAAGGTCCTTTCCACCTCAAACCATTCTATGACTCTATGAATGAATGTTGATGAATGAAAATTAATATATTGCCTGACTCTGGAGCAACACTACATCTTAACAATACAACATGAAAATGAAGTCTATCATGGGAACAAACGACACCCAAACATTATCCCTGATAAAACTTCACTACTTCTGGCTATGTACAACCATAGCAAACTGCACAGATCTTACCCTGGAGACAATTATTTTTTTTTAAGTTACTGAAATTTTTCTTTTGCAAGAAAAGAATTGGGAATCTAATCCCAAAGCAGGAAAGGGAAAAGTGGCTTTTGACGTACACATTTTTCTGGGAGCTCAGCTGAGGGATTCTGTAAGCAGTTTAACGACCGTCATAACGTTTCCCCACTGCTTTGGTCCCTAGAGCCTTGGTCAAATGCCTGCCTCCTCCAGGAAGAGAATCTGTTGGCCAACAGCTTATCAAAATCATAAAGAAGCTTCATTATATCCACATAGATCAGTACCTATTTTACTACTGTCATCTGCTGCATGTGCTTTCAAGGCACTTTTAAAACAAAGAGCAATTCGGTGTCACCATGTGTAAGATTAAGAACCTCACTCTTCCCACAAGGCTGGCTCAAGTTTAGTAGCAGAGATGAAGGCCTATGTCTCAAGTAGAATACATTGACTTCCAGCTTCTCACTGAAATCAACATGTTGATGGCATATTAGGAGACTGAATACTTGACTGAATGTTAGCTCAAGAGGCTGTTCTATAGCTGATCTGCAAGTTTAAAATGGCAACAGGCACGCATTTCCCACAGCTGCAATTCATCAGCACAAAACAGCTGTCATCTCATGCAAAGAAATCAGAAGTCTCCAAGGTGAAACAGAAATGCAATTAGTTTGCATTAAGTCCAGCCTGCTAGAAGCGGAGCAGAACATAAATTACATGTAATTTGAAACTCTGGGTTTAAGAGATTGCTGCAACAACCGAAGATGAATTTGGGATTTAATCTGTTTTCTGAACAACTTTCAGAGATTACTCACACACCCAAACATAACTCATTTATAAGATGGGAAAGTAAAGACTAAAGAAGTCTTTACATATCTATTTCTTGATTAAAAGTAGCACATTTTCATACCATCATCAGACTCTAATTTATAATGTGCTGAAGACATCTTCCTTTCTAATCATTCCTAAGTTTTGTACTCATCTTTCTAAAATCTGGTTGTTTCTCTCTACTGTTAATAAAGCTACAAGGAAAGGCCAGAGTCATCAGCGGTTAATAGATTTGAGTCTCAGGTAACACACCCTGTGAAGGACACAGCCCATAGGCCCAAATTCTACCTTTGTCATCCATGAAAAGTTCCATACAAATAATAACAACATGGGATTTTTTTCAAAGTTACCTAAAATTCATATTTGTCCAGATAAGTGATTAAAACAACTTGTCTTCAGTGTAATCAAGAACTATTTTCAGTTGTAAATCAGGTGCTAGAAGGATACAGAGGAAATACAAAGGAAATTCAAGCCCAGTATTTAGAGAAGATTCAGCATCTTTTCCAAGGTTATCTGGGTGGGTTTTCTTGTCTTTCCTTTTTCTCTTTCTTTTCTTCTAAGCTTTCTTGACTCAACACAAGTAAAAACAATAAAACAATATATCCTTTCTTAAAGTGAAAGGAATGAGACAGAATTCAGAAGCTGTCTTCGTTTCATTGATGGTCTCACTACTCAAACTGCTGTCAAGTTTACCAACTAAATTGGTATTCACTGTTCAGCCCCATTGCCTACTAACATCTGGCTGGTGCTCCATTCACATAAATTCCAGCTACTTGCAGATGAAGAAACATCCTTCCATCCAAGGAAAATTTTAGAAAGCTCAGTGGAATCTACTGCCAACCACATTGTGTTTTTCAGCCTGTGGAACCCTTGCCTCTTCAGTTTTATTTTAAAACTTAAACTAGAATGTTTATAATAAGCAATGACATTTTAATTATGCACAGTGTAACAATAATGAGCATTCACAATCAGACACCCAGTCTGAATATCAGACGCTACTTCAAGAACCTGGCTCCAAACCTGCAGGCACACCTTAACACATGCTACAGCACAGCACATGCTCTCCCAGGTTCAGGCTGGTACATGAACGTAACTCAGACCCACATGCAAATCACATGCACTCATTCGAGTCAACTAGAAGAGCCAGTACCCAACTTACATGCAAAAATTAAGTTTCCAGATACACAAAGGCAGACGTAAGAAAAAGCATGCTAAGTTCATATGCACAAATTTTAACCAAGTTTCAGTCACCGAGCAAATCTTGAACACAGCAGTACCACATTCTAATAGCAAGTAAATATATATTAGTAAAATATCTGAAGGTATTCCAAGGGTACCATCTTCAATGAAAAGATGAACTTTTTATTTTGTCTTTTTTTCCCATTTATTCCAACATAATGGTTAAATAATTGTTATAAACCAAAACAAATGAGCAATTGACTCAAGATATTTAAAAGTTAAATCCAAATTACACAAACCTGCATTTTGTAACAAGTGCTGATGAACGGGACACTAACAGGAAAAGTTATTTTAATGTTTCTGTAACAATCCATTATTTTTCAGATAGCACGGCTGTTTAAAGCCACTGCTAAGAAGTCAGGAATATATCACATTCTAATGAGCTACTAATGGGAAGAGCGGGCAGAAAATGGAAGGTAACACAGTCTCTTACATAACAATAAACAGACTCCCTAACTGAAAAGAATTGTTTTAGCCCAAATATTCATTCCAGTGCCTTTTCTTTCTTCTCTTTTTTTCTTCTTTTTAAACTGGAACATATTGGTGTATTTTGCAGATAACGTTTTATTATCTTTTTCAGCATATACTGGAAGGTCAGCGACTCTTTAAAATACAGCTGCTTAAAATGGAACTCTGATTCAACCATACCAACAAAGACCTCTACTATCATTAAAGAAAAACCCAGACGTACATAGCATACAAATTCAACACATATTATACAGCCACAGCAGAAAAACCCTTTTAACATTCAATGTCCAGTTTAACAACTGCTATTCTTCAAATATGTTTCCGTTACTACTGATCACACTTGCAAAATTCATTAAAACTAGTCCCATTTAAGTCCAGCACTTACCACTACCTAGTCTTAGAAGCAGTACATCCTGGAGTCTCCTGTTCAAGTCTCTGAGCTCTTTCATTTCTGACACGAGTGCCCCATACTCCTTTAGCTTCTTTGCCTGTTGCACAAGCTGTCTCCGAGTTCTCTCAAGCTCCTGTTGAATGTGTCTCATTTCTTCTTGTTGCTGTTGGTAACTCCTAAGCAATTCTTCATACAGGATCCGAGGAACTACAGCATCGTCCATATTGTTCATGCCTTCTGAAGACTCCATAAAAGCCTCCTCAGGGCTGGAAGTATTACTGAGACTCATCCCATTTTGTTTTTCAAGGCGAGCAACAACTGCTTCAATGCTTTTGTGTGTTCCTTCACTTTGTTTCCTCCCATCTTGTCTCTGCGTGTGACAATAAAAAAATAAATCAATTAGGAGAGCAGTAAGATGCAATAAAATCCAAATTCTTCAGACTTGGGAACTGTTAATATTCTTGTTTTCCAAAAAAAGCAAGACAAAGTCTGCCTGCAAAAAATGTTTTGCCTAACAGATTCTTGTGGATACACATCATAACTATCACACACATGTAATTCAGCTAGATGCTGAATATATAAACTTCTGAGGCAGTTAAAGGCCTTTTTTCCTGCATTTGTGTAACACCTGCAAGCTCAGTGTATATATAGGTCACTTGATTCCCTATATAAAGATAACAAAATTCTCAAAAAAAAAGTGGCTCTGGATCTCTTTTGCTTTAAAGTTTACCCCTAACATTTAGATTTCTGACAGCAACTGACTTTCTGATAAACAAGGGAAAGAACCAACTATGAGCTATGTTTGTCACCTGTAATGACAGAGATGAAAGTGGCATACTGCTGTTTTGCGAGCAGAGGGCTTGTCCTTCCCACCCTTTAGGAGACAAAACCTTCTCTTACTACTCCTCTAGCACATTCACCCAACTGCCTGATGCAAGTGACTGAGTTAATGCAATCAGCAAGCACTGAAAAGGAACTGAAAAGACAGAAGTTGGACACAGAAATTTATCAGCCACCTCATCTCCCTCATCAGCCGATTCCTTCTATATTAGTACTGCATTGCAGAGGCTTCATGTCCTTTGAACTCTCAGCATAAATTTACCTTCAGTTCCAAACGCTACAAATTAAAGCACACTTCTTTTCTGGGGTCTGGATAGGGCATTAAAACATGACAGTAGGGGTAAAAGTCACCAAGTTTTATTGGCCAAATACGGGAGAAGCATTTGAACTTCCAAGCAAGTGAAAGGAAAGCAAATGTAGCTCATAGGTTAGAGATAAGAAGCTGACACTATCAATTCCCATGCCACAATATCCATAAGTAATGTAGCAGAAAATGAGACTATTTGATGTTATACCTGTCCCATGCATATTCTAAAAGAAAATTAAAAAAAATAAATGCTGTCCCACCATAAAGAAATGTACTAGCATCATTCCTACAGCTGCAAAACACATGAAGCCACAGAGCAGTATTTTATTATGAAGGTTGGCAGACTTTTAAAGAAATCATCTGATATCAAGAAATAAATGCATTTACATAGTGGGTTTCTGGCATCTGGACCTAAAAAGACAACTGGCACTTATAATGGAGGGATGCAGTCCTGTCAGTTGTTCTTCTCACTACTGCTGTAGTTAGGAACCCTCAGCACACCCCTTCCAGTTCCAAACAAGCAGCATGCAATAGGTCACAAGTGCCACCGACAGCAGCTGCTCGACATTCATGTAACTGGTGACTTTTAAGGCATTCTGGGCCAAAGTGGAAGAGCAATTACACTGTGCAGATGGTATACACAGAAAAATGTTTGATTGCACATACAGCAGGTTCTGAAAACCTGTATTCCTGCCCCCAGCTCCCAATTTGACCCAATTTCAGCAAACACAATGTTTTAAGGGGATTAAAAATTCCAGGCCTGCTTTTAAGCTATAGCGTCTGTATATACCCCAAGCACTTCAAAGATAAAATATAAAGAAAAAAAAAAAAAGAGAAAAAAGGAAAAAATATAAAGAAAAGTCAGGAAAAATAATAATAGTAAAAAAAGAAATAAGAATTAAAAAAAAAGGTAAAACTTCAGTACCTTACTGTGTCTAAGCTCCACATCTTCTTCCCCATAATCTGTAACCTCCCCAGCTTCTTCTATGTGATTGAGAGAGAGTTTGGGGATTTTAATTTTCTTCTGCATCACACTGTTCTCAAGGTCAGTTTTGTCCTCTAAAATGTATATTAAAAATAAAATTGTGTTACATTAATCAGTATTCTTACTTCCAAATACTACACGATTTAGGCAAGATCAGTTAAAGAAGAAAACAACCCTCCCATGCTCCAATCCCTTCATAATACTATGATCAAATTAAGGCACAGTAACTCAACTGATGCTCTCTAGAGTTTCAACAGGGGATCAATCTGACCAAAGAGAAGAATAAATACTGTAAAACGCCAAGCTGAATTCATGTGAAGGATCAAAAGTGTCAATGAGCAGCTTGTATTATCACTAAAAGTTAAAGATGCTGTAAATGAAACAACTTCCTAGAAACCATCTGTATTGGTTTAAATTATGTTTACCAACAGTATTTTCATATTCACAATCCACTGAATCCATTACAGTTCAAACTGTGCTTAGGTTTAAAGAGAAAACAAACTCGGTAATTCATCCTACACCCTAACCATCATCTGTCAGCAGTACAGATCTATTTGCACACTCAGCAGATTCTGCTGTTCTGCAAAATGGAGGGCTGGAAAAGGGGATGCTTCAGGACAGGTTGAAAGGGCATTAGAGAAAAGTTGCATCTGGACCAAGTCTGTAACAAAATTCCCATGTGACCCCTATTTCATTAGTTAATGTACTAATCCTTTTTTTTTAAGACACACAAAGCCAAGAAATGGTTATACTACTCTTTGAATCTCATAAAAAAATGAGGTAAAACATTTTCTAGTCTAACATCTCTCACAAGTAAGTGCTTCAAAGCATTATTCTTAAAATAAGTTTGAAGTACTTTAATATTCCTGAGAAGGTACATAGGGGACAGGGAATCAAGAGTAAATAAAGTCTCCTCAAATGTGATCCATAAAATTCTTGCAGAGCAAACAAGGTCTAAAAAGATTCACAAGCTTGGTTACCTCTTTGAGACATTGACAAAGAGAAACATATTTAAACTCTGAAGTGTTGTCTTTGTGCATTGAAAGCTTATGAATAAGAAAACATTTTGAGTCTTATCCACCTGCAAACTGCATTTCACAAAGTGTCCCATGAATATCTTTGAAAGTGCCAATAGGGATGACATTTGTGAGTGCTTAGCTGCACTGACTTTTGCTTTCTCAAATTAGCATCTCTCCACAGGACCTCAAAATGGTTAGTGTTGACAGTGTAGAAAAGGGAAACAAAGGTAAATCACTGTTTAATGAGGAGCAAGGCATTCATTAGAAATGAATTACACAGATGAATGCAATTCATTTTGTTACAGATAGAAATGGATCTCTTGTAGGCAAATGCTGATATTACAGCCCAAGGCTATGTAAAGAGAATAGGCACAGAACATGCAGAATAAGACATTAGACAACCTGAAATGAAATGCAGATGGTAGCAATAAATACTAAGACAGATGCAAAATGAAAGAGACAAACAACAACAACAACAAAAACAAACAGCTAGGCTTATTTTAGATCATTCTCCATTCCCCAGAGCATCACGGATGCTTATCCCAGTAAGACAAAAAAGCAATCCAACTGTTTCAGTTCTGAAAAATAAACCCCCACATTTTCATTTATCTGGAAAACACAGGTTCATCAGAAAAGCGAGGTAACCCAATTTACTCTCAGAGAGCACAGAAGAAATTGAGAGAGCCCTTCCTAGGAAAAAAGCCCTACACGTTTACAGACTAAAGGACAGACTGGTGGATATTGGTATCTTCCTGGAAGGGATGGAATTTAAGAATAAATAAATCCATATTGAATGGGGGAAAAACCTAAACACAACAACAAACTAACTTTTTCTGAGACTATGTATTTTGGGGCTTATAGACTAAAGAATCCTTTGCTAAAATATGTTCTCACAATTCCTTAGAGTAAGAGCAGCACATGCATCCTGCAGAACCACCTTCTCTAAACTGTGTGGCAAATTATGTTCCCTAGAACATGCAGATGGAGCCCTTCCACATTTAAAGAATGCAGATCAGTTTCTATGCTCCAAAATAACCCTTGGCCACACAACAAGATGGACACAATCCAATTACTTCGCATAGTTAAAAAAATTGCTGGCAACTAGATGAGGTCACCAGTAGCCAGAGCCTCATGCAAACTGGAAATGGACACCAACCATCCTCATGGCCAGGGAAATGCAAGTCTTGAAACGCTTACGGAAAGCGGCCACAGAGCATGTGCAGACTAGAGTGGAAGTCAGCAAATCCCCTCTGACAAATAAAGCAACATTAAAATAAAAACAATTTGGAAGAACAGAAATATTTATATTTTGATGTTGGCTTTTAAAGTCAATTTATAAAGATTAACAGTTAAGAACCCATTTTGTGCACTGAACAACAGAAATAAAAGAAAAATGCTTAGTTTGGGGTCAAAAAAAAAATACAAATCATAAGAATTCTTCATTCTTTCCACTACTCTCCCAATTTCTTATTTTACCTATGAAATTCATGTTTGTAAAACTTCACTAGTGCACAGAAGGTAAAAGTTTGCTTGTGTACCTCCCAAGAGAGGCTTAGTTTGTACATTAGTGGTGTGCAACTATCAATGCGGTTCTTTCATGTTTGGCAACTTTCTTCATTTGACTTTCTATAAATGAACCAGTAAGTTTAAGGAAGAAGCTATTTTCTCCCCACACAAAATTTGAAGAAACAATGGTAAAAATGAGTTTATATAAGTAACAGCTCAGTAGTCAAATGCACATGCTCAATTTAGTCAATGAACAATAACTTCATGTTCCTCTGCCTTCAACAATACATACAATATTTTCTTACATGTGCTCTGGTCTTCGTAGGCCTATTTATACCTAACACAATTTATCCAGTGTGCTGGATATGAAAAGGCCTTTTGTTTTTCTTTTTTTTTTTTAAAGTGCATTTCTAACCTCTGTTATCTTCTGCATCAGCTGCAGACAGAGCCAGAAAAATCTCATTCTGAATTTGAGGCTAATGATGGAGTACTGGCTCTTGTTCTGTAAATATTAATGGAATTTGGGAAGGGGGGGGGGGGGGGAGGGAGGGAGGGAGAGAGGGGAGACCAGGGGAAGGTGCAGGAAAGGCATGAACATGCATTTAGAGCATGTTCTTAGGACTCTGTTGCTGTGCCAGCCTACAAAAGTACAGGCACAAAAGAAGAATCCAGGAAAAAGCAAAACCTGCACGATTTTGAGCCAGAAGAAAACCAGGATATGAACCAACACCTGGACAAGCTGCAGTCCAGCGCCTAAAGATACCAAATGTGCTAAGAGAGAGAAAGGCAGCCCTAGAAACACTAGCTCACAGCCTCATTTTGTACTGACTTGACCTTTGTCCAGAGTCATTTCAACCTTGCTACAAGTTAACAATTATACCTTCCCTTAGGTGGCCATGATCCCACTGTCATAAAGTTGTGTCTATTGCTTTTCCTATATATGGAATAAGCCAGTCAGTGAGAACTGGCACTTAACACACCTAATAGGTACTTGTAACAAAATACACAGGGTAGAAGCATGATACTAAAATGAACAGTATTGATTGTCGCTTTAAGAAGGTACATTCTGGAAGATCCATGTAAATTAGGAAAGATTACTTTTGTGCACAGCAGCCATAATGCCAGAGAGAGAACACTGTACTCTGTGATTCAATATACAGAATAAAGCATGCTGGAATAACTGAACTCCAGGAAAAGGTCAGACTTGGAGTGAAACTGCCGGTCAACTCCACAAGGTACTGAAGCACAGGGCTCAAAAGCAAGTGCACACGACAGCACCACTCCCTGTAAAGCCACCTACCAAAGTCTTTTAGGTAGTCAGAAGAAAGTGAACTGCTGAGAAATCTCAGAGTGGCTGGGAAGACATTTGGCCTCAGCAGTGCTGAAAGAAAGAAAAGCCAGAAAAGCAACCCTGCATTAGAGGATCTGTATCAACCAGCAAAGGATAAACTGTTCCTGGAATGTTTTCTTCTGACAGGTCTTCATTTCAGTGTCAGGATGGGTGGTTTAGGCCAAAAGGTAACAGCTTTAACTCTAGAGCAGAAGGGAACTGAGGCAAAGTGACTTTAACAGGGCAGGAAGCGAGTTGGTTAAATTCAAGTAGAAATATGTTAGTGCTCTAAGACTGAAAACCGTATCGTGGGATGTCAAGTAAACCCATTTAAATCTCAAAGCCTCGTTAAAACATTCCTTACTTTCTAATTTTGAAGGACTGAACAAACTAATCCCCTAAAAAAAAAAAAAATAAAAAAAAAATCAATCCAAATGTTGGGTTTTGGGTTTTTTTTCCACCTTTGGAGTAAAAGCTGGAAAAACAGAGGAAAAGAACTCTGCACTCCAAATGGATGAGGGACGTTGGATGTTAGTCTGGGATCAGTCCAACTAAGAGGCTTGGTAATGCTATAAATCTTACAGTTAGAAAACAAAAGAACCTTGAGCAAAATCTGCCCTTCCCCTAAGCCTTTAAAAAAAAAAAAATCCACCCCTTGTGAAAAATGATACACTGACAGCTGAAAAAATTCACCATCACCCTTCCCATTTCCAGGCATATACCCAACACATATGGACAGCACCTGTACAACATTTCCCACACACTGCTGCACTGAACTGCTTTGCTACTGATTTAGCCAGGTTGTTTCTACACAGCAGGTAACATCACCTACCTCAGTAGTTAAGTGTCTTTTACTTTATGAACTGTAATAACCAAAGCAGAAAACCAACAACCAAAGGCATACTTGGTGCTTTAAAGCGAATGCACACACCAAGCACAATGGGGCATGGATTCCTAAGTGCCACTTAGACACAAATAAACAATAATCAATATTGCTGTGACTTGGAAGGAAAACAGCATGATAATGAAAAAAGGAAAAGAGCCACCCAGATTATCTGAAACTGGAAAAAATAATTATACTTTCTTAGCTGATTTACTGCACACATTAAAGAAGCACTTCAACAGGAAGAACAGATTTCAGAAAACTTAGTGATTGTGCAGATTCAAGATATTCACAATACAGAGGAAGAAAAAGTTGTCTCATAAAACATCTCTGCGC